TCAGAGCTATTTTAGGCAAACACAGTTTTATTCTTGTAAAGCAATATAGATTATTTTGATCTGAAAAGCTGTTTATACCTTTAGGGCAAACAAAACCCATTATTCAGGGTAGGATCACAGAATCACAGAATGGGCTGGGTTGGTAGGGACCTCCAGGATCATGAATCTCCAACCCCCTGCCACATGCAGGGCCACCAACCTCCCCATTCAATACCAGACCAGGCTGCCCAGGGCTCCATCCAACCTGGCCTTGAACACCTCCAGGGACGGGGCATCCACAACCTCTCTGGGCAGCCTGTGCCAGCACCTCACCACTCTCACTGTAAAGAACTTCCCCCTGACATCCAAATGCTGTCTGCCACTCAGTGGGCTATAAGGTTTACCAGAATCTGAGCATAAGGATAATTTTTTAGGCAAGTATCATAAAATTGCTGGTTTTGGAGAGTGATGTTATCCGGAAGAGTGCGAGTTAGAATTGATTTGGTAAGTAATGAAATGCTGGGTGGAAGGACCAAAATAGGTATCGAAGAACCCCTTTTATAGTAACTATTGAGTTGCTTGTCCTGTATTGTTTGAGATGTTGAATACAGTTGATTTCAGCTTTTTGCTTGTAAGAGAATTTTCTGTGGGTGACAAGGTCATGTTATGAATGTGGTTGAGAATGAAGAAAAGGGTTTGGCACCCTGGGAAAAAGAAAAGTTTCTATATGTTTGGCCTCTAGCAGTTCCACAGGTATAATTTCAGTAGTGAACTTTCAGATTTGAAAAGCCCATTGATAAGCTCATAATCAGAAGTTTGTCTGCAGAATTCTTCTTTGCTTAAGAGTGATTTCAGGGTACTCATTATGATATTCTGTAGTCCTAGGTTACTTTAAATGGATTTTTAAGGCTAATTTCAAGTGGCATGTAGATGCTTAGATGCATAATTTAACTTTCTCTGTTTCCGTAAATATTGATTCCTTTCAACGTTTTTCTCTGTATTTGTAGTTTCGTATTACTCCTGAAAATGATACTACTTGCAAAACCGATTTTATGTACAGATTTCTGGTATTTTAATTTCTAATTTGTCTTTCATGTTATCCGCATGTTTGAAATGAGAGTTCCCTCTCTTTTTAGAAGCGTGTAGATGATCTGGCTTACTCTCTCTGGAAGCCTTTAGAATATGGGCTAATCTAAAAAAGGATATCTTAACTGAGAATTTCAAAAACTTCATGAAAATGTAATTCTAAAAATGGGAGTTTACAGCAGAGTGGAAAGGAAGAGTGGTTCACAGAATTTTTTTCTGACAAAAATCAGCTTGCCTTGAATGATAAGTCTTGAATGAAAAACAATTGAGCAAATGACAATTCAGTGTTATTTTCTAAATGCTACTAATATGACTCGTGACATAAGTTAGTATCTACTTGCTTTCTAAAAATCCAAGGTACTCCGTACTACAGTTAGAATCGTAGACTGAGTCTCAGAAGGGGATTTACTCCAAATTCTTATTTGGATTCACTCTTGTCTTTTTATTCCTTCTTCATTTAGACTAAGTTTTATAGCTCGGTGGATTTGCACTCATCACGTACTGTTCAAAGCTTAATTTAAGGGGAAGTTGTTTATAGTTCCATAATATGGTTTTTAGATGTTGAAAATTTGGTTTCTATTTGTTCTATTGAGTCTAGACTCAGTGTAATGTCTGCACATCACTGATTGAGCACTGGGAGTGGAAAGTGTGATGGGCTTCAAGGTCATGTTTTACTGCTTTAGAACCAGCAGGTAGTTTCAGCTTTATTTCATAATTTGGTTTTAAGCCTCCATTTATATGGAAGATTCTTGTTAGGAGTGTGCTTGATTAGGGATGGTTCACATGGGTTCTGGGGGAAGAAACAACAAAGTTGAATCCTTTTCAGTTTTTCTGTCTGTTCATCTGTTCTTAGCAGCAAAGCTTGTGTGTCCCTGCAGTAGTTGTTTAATGTAGCTGTAAACAGAGCTGAAATAAACTTTGACAGGCAACTAAGTTGAGCACTTGTTCAATTCTGAAATTGTGCTTGGATAACAGTTCCCAGTTGTCTAACTTACTTGAGGAGAAAAGGGGCATTTAGCTCCTCTTAGCAATGTAGGGGATCCCTCTGGGGTTTATTGCTGTTAGTATTTTCAGCACAATACTGAGAATTCTTTTATTTCATTTTCAAGAAGCTAAGTGCGGTAGCTGGTAGCAGCTCAACGCTGTCACCCCAGAAGGAAAGGATGGTAGCTTCCTAGGTATGACCAGCAATTAATAATGGATCAGAAACAGTTATGAACTGAGAAAGAGGAGGAACTATCACACAATACCCTGAGCTGGAACTGACCCATGAGGATGATCAAGCTCAGTTCCTGGCTCCGCACCGAACCACCCAAAATCAAACCCTATGTCTGAGAACACTGTCCAGGTACTCCTTGAACTCTGACACTGGTGGCCGTGCCCACAGCCCTGTGCAGCCCGTTCCATGCCCACCGCCCACCGGTGCAAACCCTTTCCCTACCGCCCAGCTGCCCTCCCCTGATCCAGCTTTAAGGATGAATCCCTAGAACAGCTTACTGAAGCCAGAAATAGGATCGGGTACTACAGGCACTTCAGAGGAGGACTGTCTTGTTTTCTTTTATTCTTTATAAGAATAATGTGATTTTTAGAATGAATGTCTTGCCTCCTAAATATGTGTATACAAAATATGCTTCAGCAGGCCATGCTTTCCACGTACCTGCTTTTAATTATAGCACGAGGCAGGAACATTAAAACAGTCATTTCAACTGTTACGGTGGGAATCACAGAATCACAGAATTGTAGGGGTTGGAAGGGACCTCCAGAGATCATCGAGTCCAACCCCCAAGTTGCTGAATTGAAGTTGCTGAATTTTACTGAAGTGTGGAATAGGTAGTAAAGAAAATAATTTGCAAACATCAGGACTAAGGATAACTGGTACGGTATCATGGTGCAAGGATTTTATTTATTTATTTTAAATCCAGGATCTTTTCTCCACGTTAATTGGAGGAGCTGGTACTTCTTTGGGCAAGTTGCCTTACAGCAGTGGCTTCCGTGGATTCTTGTGCCTCCTGTGCCGCCTACTCTGTGACGTGTGCTTTGTCTGGTCTTGATGCAGCTAATTATGTCTTTCTGTCATGATGTTATTAGTGAATCTGGAAAGAGTGTTTGGGGCAGGAGCTTATTTTCTGTTATGTGAGCATATAGTGCACAACTCAGTTACAGAATAGGACTGAAATGCTTACTCTCGACATTCATAAGCTTACAGTTAGACTGCAGTTATGTACTGAAGTTTGTACTGATTGGTGGAAGGGAATTGTATTTTTATGTTTTGAAAAGCTTAGTCTGGGGGGGTAGGTCATTAGAAATTTCTGTTCAGCTGAGCTGTGTATAAATATCTGTAATGTGTTGATAATCTGAGGATGATGAGTATCCTTCTGTCTTCTTTTCTGTACTGGGCATCTAAATGAATCTGCAGTTGACATTGCAGGTGGTTCCGGCAGTGAGAGGCACAGCATAAGCACAGTTCACCACATAGGTGCATGAGAAGCGTAGTTTTGAGGAACAATATTGATCAGCACTCAGGAAGACTGGCAAAACATCTGAAAGGTCTGAGTGTTTTGGTAGTGAGCTTGATGGGGAAAAAAAATCTGCTAAACCAAAGGGAAAAGATACTTGCTTTACACTTCAGTGTTTTGTTGAGGAAAATAAATCAGTGAATTTATCCCTGCTCCACATAGAGAGGTGTATCAGCTACCACTGATGATTAGCATGCTAATTTAGCGTGTTTATTTCTACTGACAAGCAGAATTTTGTAAATGCAATCCAAAAGTATTTAAGGCTATAGTAATGAAGAAAGAGTGGAGACCACTAGGCTGCAGGATGTAATCAAAAGAGATGGAAGATGACTGGGTGTATCCTCAGCTGAGTATTTAAGAAGAGGAAGCTCTGCATGCCCTGTCATTTAATCCATTTTGTTCTTATTTTGCTTAAGCCTGTATACTTTTGTTAAGTTATGGAAATGAGTGAGTAGGACAGGCATTGAAGGATGATATAATGTTGGTACGTAATTTGTCTGTGGTACTTGCAGGAAATAAATCTATGCATAAAGAACATATTATTCTTGCTGTCTTAATCTGCTCAGTGCTGGTAGTTTTTCAAAGCAGAGGTTGTCTTCTTTTGTTATTTGGAAAATGCACGCTGTGTAGAAACTGTTCTCAAATCTTGAGATTTGTTGAAAAATTGAAGTCTTGGTGTTACTGCAGTGAATCATTATTTAAAACGGTACAGTTCTGATGGCGCCTGTTGTAACGTTCTTAGAACATAAGGCCTGTTTGCATTGTACTCTGATGTTGCTGTATGCCTGTTAGCCAAAGGGCAAGTTGCATCAACAAGTATTTTTAGTCAGAAAAAGAGATGAAGGAATGGTGAATTGAGACGTTCATTGCTAAGTAGTGCTCGTATTCTACAAAACAATGCAATGCTTGTGCTGTTACTCAGCATAGTCTCAGTCTTCTTAGGTGAGTAACATATAAGCCTTTTTTAACTTGCTTTTGTTTCTCCAGTTAGTGAATGAAAGGACCTGTGAAAATGCTTTCTCTTTGTATGTCCCTTCACGCCAGTTCTTTAAAAATTACAGTACATCAGGGAGAATGGCAAATGAGCTACAAGATTAAATTTGTAAATCTTATGGCAGCATTGTCCAGGAAGAAAGTTCCAAAATTTAAAATGATTCCTATGGTTGTAGTTTTTCCTTAAAATGCTGCTTGATTTACATTTGTATGATTAATAATAAATATAATTTTTAGTTGACATCTCATAAAATTAATATCGTAAGGAATGCGTTACCCACAACAGGGCACTTATTGTGGCAGTGTTACTTTTATTAAGCCATTTGTCATTTTAGTGTTGTGTTCTGACTCTTAAGATTTTGTGTCTTACTCAAAAAACAAACAAACAGCAAAGCAAATTCAATACTGTTTTTTTCTTTCTTACAGCATTATCTGCATACCAGAGGTACTACAGTTTACAATCTGACTACTGGAAGGTCTGTATATGCAGCTTCTAAAATTTATTTATTTTGCTTAAATATATTGCTGTAATGATTGAATTTCTAAAATAGATACATTTCAGTACGTTTGGAGTATCTACCTGCTGTTTCTTTGTGGTGTATTAATTGAGCCTAAATGGACGTATTCACCTGTTTGTGCAATTTATCATAAGTCTAAGTGGAAATATCTTTACACTGTTTATTGAAAGGAGAGATGGGGTAATTAGCCACCGTGTAGATTTTTTTTGTTGCCTGTTACTTCAGGTTTTTTAATGTAAACATCTATTTGAATGCATGTGAGTACTGAGAAAACCGTGACCACTTGAAGGCTGCTGCATAGGTGTTGGATTTGTACTTGGAAAAATGTTCTCAGGTTGCTTTTTATTTTCATAAATATCCCTCTCAGTATCTCAAGAGAGTGTCCTTGCATGAAATGGGAAAAAGTTATGTTTGTAGAGACGTGATATCTGAAAGTTAACATGAAGATATCAGGACCTTAATTGAATAACATTTTAAAATTCTTCAGTGATACTGTGGAAGAAAATAGGTAGCATTGTTGTGTTGTCCTGTGAAATAATGTGAAGCTCATAATTCAGTCACAAGTGCACATAGCACACTGCTTTGTGGTCTTTACAAATGTTTTCCTTAAGTGTTCTTAAGTACTCGTTTCAAATGGGGAGGGAGGGTTCACTCTGGAGAAGATATACCAGCCTTCAGTAAACAACGTTTTGTTTGTTCTTTATGGTTTTATAAGTCCTGTCCTATAAGTACGTTATGAAAAGTCTTGTGCTGTCCTCTCCCATTTGGGAGGATGGGAAGTGGAAGGCAGTGGAAATAAAGCATAGAAGAATGAGTCGCACAGAATCACAGAATGGCCAGTGTTGGAGGGGACCTGAAGGATCATGAATCTCCAACTCCCCTGCTGTGCCATGCCACCAACCTTCCCATTTAATACTAGACCAGGCTGCCCAGGGCCTAGTATTGAGCTGAATATATAGGGCCTGGCAATGAGCTGAAATAAATGCATTTTCCATGCACATGGAATAGGTGTACAATGGGACAGTCCTAGGGAAATTGTGCAGTTGGTTTTGTCATACCCTTAGTCCAGTGCAAGTTGAACAAAGTCTGTTTTTGGACCACAGCATTTTGGAGTTGAGGAAGTTGTTTTTCAGAGATAAATGTTGCATTTAAAAAATGCAACAAAATTAGCATTCATCTCTTCCTCTTGTATGCGCTTGGAGAGTAAAAGATTGTTGTAAATGAGTGTGTTGGAATCAATTAAATGTCTGTTGTAATTATTTCTATTATTTGTACTCCTCTCACGTTAAACATTTCACAATAATTGATTTCTAATGTTTTTTTTTTTGTTTTTTTTTTTTTTATACTCTACCGAAGGAAATGATGATTAGGAAATTTTCTCAACATTTTCAGAGTGCACAGGGTGGGGTGTAAGTGATGATATATTTTCAGAGACATAGAGTGGTTCAGTGTGGCTCATAATGTCTGCAAGTAAAAGAACTGCAGTTTTGCAGTTCTATTTCACAGGCATGGATGGCTGTAAAACGTGTAATCTCTGCTTGACTTGTTGAAACCAATTTCTGTTTATTCACTGTGGTAATATTCTAAGGTACCAGTTTCTCGTTGGACCATGCTGAGTTACTTGATGTCATTAAGCTTCCTTATATAAGAGATATTTAGTGTTGTTTTGGTCACTGGATTATTTTTTTTGGTGAGGGGTTTCATAATTAGTTTTGAAATTTTCTTGACTTTTATCTGCATGGAAAAGAGCTTGAAAAAGTCCAAAGGCATTTTTCAACTGAAGCCTCCTACTGATGAAACTGATTAAAAATTGGACTAACCGGATTGCTTTCTTAATGGATGGTGAAGCTAGTGTGGGTTGGGGCACAGTGTTTCCCCTCCCTGCATCCCTATGCTTCCCTGCATTGAGCACATTTCTTGTTTCTTGTTGTCCTTCAGATCTTGTATCTACATGAACACTGAGTTTGCAATTTATTTTTGGTCACCCAATAATACGCCGTTCTTATAAACTTGATAATTAACAGCAATTTGCAAATGCATAAGAATAAACAATAAAAACCTCCAGTTGCATTTCCTTGGTTTACAACATTTATTTTTTTATAAGATTCTGTATTAAAAAAAAAAATGATTTGAATTCTTTTGGGGATCAATTAAGCTGTTGGAAATTCTAATGGTGAAGGAGGAGAGAAGGATGTGAAGAAAGGGTGGTATTTGTGAGCAGTGATGAGAGCTGTGTGAACGTACTGAGAAACTCATGGAGATTGCTGAATCACATGAGGGTTGTTACATAATTCAGGTTTGAAAACAGGCAGGAGCAGACTTATAAACTTGTGCAGCATATCGGAAATGATTTAGTGTTGCTCTGCAAATTGATGTGGTTCAAATTAGTGTCCTTTTTTGCTTAATAAATAGAACACTTCTAGATGGATTGTGAGAGGCTTTGTGCTTGTTTTGTGTGTACTTTGGCCTCCTCGCTTAGTGTTTTTAGTCTGTGCTGCTTTGGGTTTTCACTGTTGCATCATGTTGGTTACGATTGTTCTGTCAATGGATTATCATCAAAGTGCATTCATTCTGTGATTTATCTTTTATTTTTAAATAGAGTTTTTAATGGTCACAATTTTTTTTTTTAACCAGATCTTATTTCAGTCTTTTAAAAATTTGATGCCTGGGTTGTTTTGTTGCTAATATGGGAGGTGATTTTCTTGATTCTGTGAAACAAAGAAGAAGAAAATAACTTGTATTTAGAATTTATTTTCATGTTATAGGTGCAGAAGTGAAAGGTGAAAGAATGGGAGGAGGCTGTATTTTGCTGTTTACCAGAAGAATGTTCATTCTTGCTGGTGAAATACTACCTGCTTCCTAAGAAATATTATTTGTATGGGTAGTTGTGATAGAGCTGCACTGCATTATGTCACATACTCCTAAACGGGCTACATTTATCAGTAATCTCTTTGGGCACCCACATTTCAGTGCCGAATGTCCTGCAGAATTTGAGTTACTGCAGTTTTTGTTCGTCACAGGCACAGTGCTGTCTTAACTCCATTAAAAAATATTTGACTTGAAACCTGCAAAGTAAATATCTCAACTCGGATAAAAGCTGAGAAAACTTAATAGAGCTCTTCAGCTCAAGTACTTTTTTCCAGTGTTTCTTCTTATGTTTGTGCTAAAATAAATCTGCCTTCTGTGCAGTGTACTTCATTCGTATTTCTTTTTAAAACTCCTGTGTCAGAAATTTTGGGGGAGGTGAGGAGGACTGCGGAGGATGAGCAGATAGGAAGGGCAGCTCAGGAGAGGGAGACAACAGCTAGAAATCCAATTTGTAGATTCTGATGCTGCTGAGAAAATAGATGTCAAGTGTTAAGTGTCTGCCATGGTTATCAGTTTTGACATATTCTAAGGAGGGAAGGACTAGAACAGCAAGGAGTAAGATGCTTTTTATTTTATCTGAACATGGTGGGAGATATCTGGCACCTGGAAAAAGCTATTTTAATCGTCTTGTGTGGCTGTATTATAATACAGTTGATCACAATGATCTCGTCCATGTAGCATCTGGGTTCTATTAGGGCTGTCTTAACCAATTTCAGTACATGAAAGGGTGAATGTGTAACTGTAAAATACGTGTATCTCTTGAATTGACATGGTTCCTTGAGGCAGAGGAAAGCTTCCCCTCCCTGTTTCTCTTCTCCCCCATGTGGGGCTGGGAAAGGTTTCAGTGCTTGCTGAAGTGATTCTGGCGAGGTGTTTGCTGAAGAGTCTGGTTGTTCACTACTTTCATGAGATCCTCTCTGCTTTGATATAGCACTGTCACTATAGCCCCCATTTTGGTTTGATAATCCTGTTTGAAGTACATTTATGTGATTTTTTGCAGGTAGGTATTTGTTCACATATTGTTAGTTATAGTTGTGTACCTGTCGATGTTACAACACAGATTTTGAATGAATAAAACTTTATGGTGCAGGTACATACTAGGTTGAGCTGCATAGGTAGCTGCAGGCAGGCATAGATAGCAGGCAGGTAACCTTCCTGACAATAGGTCTTACCTGCAGGAAGTTTCTATGTGCTAGTTCTCTGCAGTGCTCCCATCAGCCATCTGCTGTATACGTCTTCATAGGTGGGAATAGGTATGTATACCTTTCTAGACAGTATTTTAGTCATATCCAAAGTATTGAGGATGAATTGTGAAAATATGAAGACAGCACTGCTGTTGTACACGCAATGTATGTGATTGTGAGTGTGTGAATAGAAAGTGGCCATCAGGTACTCTCTGCCTGTGCTTTACTGGGCGTTAGAACTCCTGTCTAAAGTCATTTTTTTACCTCAGGCCTTCTCCGTGTCTGATTTTTGGCATCATGTTTGCAAATAACAGAATTTCCTTGCACGTTTCTCAGCTTGAGGAGAGTCTAAAACCATGCAGATGTTCAAAAACAAAAATAACAAAACAAAACAAGATAACAAAACCAACTTAAATTCTGTTGAGAAGCCCCAGGAAAGTGAGACTGAGTAACTGTGTGTGTGTGCTTGTCATGGACGAAGAATCATAGAATCTCAGAGTAATTAATGTTGGAAAAGACCTTTAAGATCTTCATGTCCAACCACAATGTAATCATAATACCCCAACTCTGACATCAGTCTTCACTGAGTTGTTGACTCATAAAAGAAAGCAGTTTTATGATGTTCTTTGATATGTAGCCCTGCAGTGTAATGTAGTACCAGTTAATTGTTTGCAGTGCTGTTTTATAATTAAACCTTTGTAAAATTGTTACAAATGGTATTTTGTAGCTTCATGGTTGAAACAGTTAGTAGTAAGACTTCTTTTCCATAAAGAGCGAAAAGTAAGACTAAATATGTTTATTTTTGAATTTGACCTGGCGCTCATTTTAAATATACTTGTACAACGTTTGTTTTCCCTTCTGATTGGCAAAATGTGATGGCTTTTTTTCCTGTTTTCTCAATGCTAT